CCCCCCCGCCCCCACCACACTGGGACGCCCGCCCCCCTCGGGTCCCCGCATCCCACTCGGGTCCCGCCCCCGTCGGGTCCCCGCGCGCGCACGCCACGCCCCCCGCCCCCTCACACTCCGCCTTCGACGGATCGGGAAGACGCAGTCCCGGTGCCGCGTCTCTCGCCCGACCCCGTCCGCCGACCCCGCGGCGGGAAGCTCGCGCTCTCAGCCTGCCCGCGGTTCCCGCCACGCACCCAGGTCGCGGTGAGGCGCCAGGCCGCTCTTCTCCCGGATCTTCTCTTCACACAAGACCAGCACCGGCCCGGCAGGCGCCATCTTTCAAACGGCAGGCACCTGCGCCCGCGCCTGCGCAGTGGGGCCGCCGCGGAGCCGCGAGGGGCGGGGGAGGGGCGGGGCTAGGCGGAGCCGCCTCGGCGCCCCCTGCCCGCGGGGCGGTCCCCGGAAAGCCCGCCAGGCCTTGGGGGCTGACGCACCCTGAGACCCCGCTCGTAGGGTCGCTCGGAGGCGGCCGAGACGTCTGGCGCCCGAGCTTGTGGCTCTCTCTGCCTCTGACTCCGAGGTTCGTGGCGTGTCCGTCCCTCTCGGACCTTGAGCGTCAGAAGGAACCCTCGAGATCTGCGGGGTTCGGGGAAGACCCGGTTCCAGGTCCGAATCTGCCCGAACCGGCCGGAACCGCGGGGCCTCCCCACCCTCCTCCATCTCCTGGTGTCGGGGCTCACCCCTGCTGCTCCTCCGCCCAGATGTGACCCCAGGGACCGCCCCGGCTGCTGGTGCGGGGGTGTGGGGGTGCGGGGTGTAGGAGTGGGGGCGTGTGGGGTGTAGGGGTGTGGGGGTGCGGGAGAGGAGTATGGGGATGTGGGGTGTGGGGGTGTAGAAGTGTGGGGTGGGGTGCGGGGGTGTAGGAGTGTGGGGGTCGGGGGGAGGGCAGAGTTTCAAACCCCGCGCACTGGGTGCTTGTGCTGCCAGGTCCTCTGCTGAGAGCGGCCTTCAGGGACACTTTGAGGGCGCCCTGTGACTGGCGCAGATCCCGCTCCGCTGCCCGCGCTCGCCCTTCGCAGGTTCCCCGGCCCGGCGTGCGGCCACCGCGCCGGGGCCACCGAGGGGAACTTCGCGCGGACGGGACGCTCCCAAACAGCGACCCGACGTCCTGCCTCAGAAGAAGGGAAGGCGGACCGAAGGCTTCAGGGGCGCCGCAGGGCCCGGCCCGCGCTCCGACGCCCTCCGCTTCGAGGTCCCGGGGGCCAGAAAGTGGGCCTCCGCCGTCCTGGGGCGGCACCGCAGGGACACTGCCCCTGCTGCCGCGGGGCACCGAGAAAACTTCGCAAACCGTGTTTTCTGCTTCCTGGAGTATTGCGTATTCATTGAAGAAAAGATGCAAACTGCAGATGCAAAGATGAAGTATTCCAGCGCACAGAGGAAACCGCTGCTGACGCTGTCACACGTGCCCCCCGAGGGGGCTTCCCGAGCTCGGACACATCTTACGGCAGTGAGACTGTGGACTAGTCTCACATGTGTATACGAATATATTTTTTACCTTGTATGAACTCTTTATGTCACTAAATATTCCTCGACATCATCTATTAAACATCCATTTAAAATGTTTTTAATGTTTACTTTTGAGAGAGAGAGAGAGCGAGAGCATGAACGGGGCAGGGCAGAGGGAGGGTACGTGGGACTCAGAATCACGAGCTGTGAAATCACGACCTGAGCTGAAGTCGACGCTTAACCAACTGAGCCACCGTGGTGCCCCTAAACGTGCACCCTAATGGACCACTGGACCCTGAACAAAACCCTGGTTTACCTGGCCCATCCTCTGTGCCTGTTTCCGTTTCTCTACAGTGACAAATCTAGTGGAGTATTGTTCTGAAGTCCCTTTTGGGGTTCTTTGGATGGAGCCAGGAGTGTCAGAGCCCGGAGCTGGCATCGTGAAGCCGTAGAGCAGGAAGAGTCTAGAAGGGGAAGCAGGGACTGCCCCCCCCCCCCCCGGAAGCAGCAGGAAACTCCATGGCACCCTGTCCTGCGTCCTGGCACATCTGACTGCACTGAACTGGGTTTCACTAAATCGAGTCTCCAACAGGTGTGTGAAAACCACTGAGGGAACGCGCAGCCTTGTCCCAGCTCAGCACCTGCCCATCCGGAGACCCAAGGAAGCTGCCTCTCGCCCCTGGGGGTGCATTTATCCGGCTCCTCATGAGGTCCCAACCACCCAGGCAGGTTAAAACCTGTGCTTGTGGCCAGTGCAGGGGGCTTCGTGGAGAGATTTGGGGGAGCCCAGACGGCTGTGCGTTGAACGCTGGGGTGGAGGTCCCCCTTGCGCACTGAGCTCTCCGCTGCATGCAGCTCTCCACAGCTTTCTACAACATTCCAGGGAGGCTTCCGGGCCTCTCAGCCTCAATCCCCAAACTCGGGGTCAGTTCATCCCTAGAGACGAGGCCAGTCTGAGGATGTGCCCGTGTCCAGTGGACTGTGAAGCTGGAGGGGGGCCCTGGGATGTCTGGACTTTTCCTAAACTGTGGTTCTTGCCAGGGAAGGGGTGGGTGTGGGAGGAGACCTGCAATGAGCTCAAAAGGGAAATGGGGTGGCTTCCCATTTTCCCCAAGAGAGGGGAGCTTCCCCCTGCCCTGGGAGCCAGAGTGGCTGAGGGATGCTCGCTGTGTGCCCCTGAGGTGTTCTGTTAGCTACTCTGAGGCGTCCCCTCCCCATCCTGTGATGTAAGCCAGCACCGTGTTATTTCACTGGCAAGGAAACAGAGTGACCACCTGGGTGCAGGTTGACTGGAAATCAAAGTCACACTAGAGCACAGGCTTGACACCCGTGCCTTTGCAGCAGGGCCACCAAACACAGGGGCTCTTGCAGGGCGAGGATCAGCCAGCCAGCCAGCCTCTAGTGAGTCCACTAGACTCACACGTGTGTATATGCATGCTCACAGTCACACACCCTCACACGCACAGCCTTCCCCAGCTGGGTGGTGGAACCCACCCTTGGCCAACCTTGAAGCACCCCCCACCCCAGACAAAGTGGGTGCCCTGCAAACACACCTCATTCAGAGACTTCATGGAATGTGTCTGTGGTCCGATGCTGCTACAGGTGTTTCCTGAGGGCCACGTTGGGAGCGAGGGAGGAGCAGGCAGCCCACTGGGCACGGCCCTCCCCACCTCCCAGCAGCTCCTCCTCCTGAAGAAGAAGCATTAGATCGAGCGCTGGCTTGTCCTCACCCACCAACACGAGAGCCCAGCCCCCGCCATATTTCCCACAGCAAGAGCAGCATCGCTACCTGTGGATTGTCCATACGTCATTTCGCCAACTAACCTCTCTCCTCGGAGACAAATGAGATGGGGGCCCCTTCTGCGCTGTTTCAAGGTGAACTCTCGGGTAGTTTTGGGGGCTAACCTCGTACCTGGCTCATCGCGACGCTGACCTCGTACCTGGCTAATCGTGACGTGGAGAAAAGGGTGGCACTGCCTCTGCTCTGGCAGGTGCCGAGCAGTCAGCAGCGTGGAGGTGGTGGGGGCTCTCCGGGCAGGTGGGCGGGACAGGCCGTGGGTGGCCACGGCTCCGGGCTGGGAGCAAGTCCAGCTGTGTGGACTCCACTCACTGCATGTGACTCTGCCTCTCATTTCCGGAAAGGTGAGAGTCCAGGCCTCTGCTGGGGGAGCGAGTTCCTTGGAGAAAAAAAATATGCCCCCCCCCACCGGGGAGCGGGGGGCGAGGGTTTTGTCTCACCTGGGAGCGCTGGCAAGCATTCTCCCTACTCCAGGTGTCAGATGTGATAGAAGCCCGAGGAAACACAAGCCAGATCCCTCATGCCAGGCCAGCAACCGCACCTCTGTCCAGACGCTTGGCCACAGCTCGGCTCCCACGGGGCCGGGTGTGATCTGTGCCTGCCCGTGTCCTGCTTCTGAGCCCAGGGAGCGTCCCCCCGTGCAGGCATCCTGTCCACTGGCTGGGCGCCCTGTGCCCCTGAGCCACCCCCGTTCCTTGCCTTGAACACAGTTGTGATGGCTGGAGTTGCAGCAGTTGTTTGGGGACAGTAAGGGGGGAATTGGCATTGCAGAGGTGCCCAGCCTGGGCTGCAAGCAATGGCAGTCCCAGCTACCTCTAGCCTTCTAGCTGTGAGGAGACACCAGTGTGCAGCGGCCTGCCGCAGTCAAGTGCATTCCCGGCGGGTGCACTAGGCTGTGCCGCGTGGTGAGTGTGCAGCCACGAATATTCATAAGACATGATATTCTGCGAGGCAGATGTGGAGGGGCTCCCTTTCTGCCTGGGGGAGAGGGCCGGGCTCCCAGAAGAGGAGCAGAGGGGCGTGGAGGTGGGGGTTGCCGGCAGAGGAGTGGGGGGCAGGAGGGCCTGCTCTGCCCCACGGCTCGGAGAGGAGAGCAAGAGCCTGACGGGGCGGGCACGCCCCTCCCTCTGCTCCGGGTTGAGCTCCGTCCGACGTGGCCAAGTGCAGGCGGTTTGTGTAGACGATGGAGCAGATGAGGGCAAAGTACAAACAGAAACCGGAAACTTCACTGACTGGTTTCCCAACTACAAAGTGAGTGAGAGCCCCTAGAGCCAGGCCTCCTGCCCTTCCCGCATCGTCGCCAGCAGTTCAGGTAAACAGTGGGGAGACCCCCAGAGCAAGGGCCAAGCCCGCACGTATCACTATGGTGCTGCCCAGAGTAAAACTAAGGCAAAAGGCCTTGCCTACAAAAAGCTTATAGTTTACCTGAAAAGGCTATTCTGGGAAAACTTTCATGAAACTAGAAGTTCTCCTCTCGCCCCTCAACAAAATCCATGTAAAATCCCTCGAACCTCAACGCCTTCTATGGCAAAAGATGAGATTAATTCAAGGATCTTGGGAGGAGTGTGTCCTGGGCTCTCTGGAGGGCCCTACATGCAATCACATAAAAGACAGAAGAGAAGACACAGACACACACCCTCTGGACCTGCCGCGACGAGGGAGGCAGAGGTCGCAGGGACACGGCCGGGAGCGCAGGGATGCCTGGGGCACCGGGGGCTGGAAGAAGCAGGAGGGAGCCTCCCCGGAGCCTCCAGAGGGAGCACAGCCCCCCCCCCCCCCCCCCCCCCCCCCCCCCCCCCCCCCAGTGCCTTGACCTCGGACTTCTGGCCCCAGAGCAGGAGAGGGTAGATTTGTGCTGTTTTAAGCCACGAGGCCGCGGTGAATGCTCACAGCGGCCACAGGAAACTAATTGACACATACACCAAATTCGATAGTGCGTCGAAATACAAAATGACCTCAGAGGTTGCCTTGATCAGCCCCTTCATAGGCAGAAAATTGATTTTCGCAGATGTGAAACGTCCTACCTAAGCTCCCAAGACGGTCAGTTGTCTCTATTTTT